CATGAGAGGGGGGAGGGTCAGAGGGAGAAGCAGACTCCCTGCCGAGCAGGGAGCCCGACGCGGGACTTGATCCCAGGACTCCAGGATCATGACCTGAGCCGAAGGCAGTCGCTTAACCGACTGAGCCACCCAGGCGCCCCTCAAATGCCCATTCTTGAGGGAAAAACATTTGAAATAAACTCAGAATGCAGACTCACGTGCTGACAAATTGTGTTTTCCCCACAACCACCATCTGAGATTCAGGTCTCCGCTGCTTCACATGTAAGTGGTTGACATCGCTTCCCTCCCTGCCTCCAATCCCCTTTCACCTAATTGTCCTACTGACTGAAAGCTTGAGAAGCATTTCTGCCATATTGTTCTCCTCGCTTAAAAACTTAAATAATCTCCCATTTCTATCAAATCCAATTCCCTAGTTTGCATTTAAGGTCCAATACTAACTCATCTTTGAATGCTACTGATATATTTATTGTCACAACTCAACAGATAGCCCTGTACACAAAGTCATGAGCACATATATTTGATGGTTAAATTTAGCTCAGCTACTACTGTTCTGAAGTATTTTCTGACCCTTCCCCTTTGTCCCTCGTGTGGGTTAGGTATACCTCTCCTCTCAGAGTACCTCCAGCAAATCCATCAGAAAATGGAACATACTGTACGGTCATTTTTTGCTTATGTGTCTCTATCCCCCATTAGGATGTAAGTTCCCAATGGGCAGAAACATGTCCTATTCATCTTTATAGCTCTAATACCTACCAAAGTATTGACGCTAGGAAATGCTGAAATATGATTATTGAAAGAATGACATTTCCTAAGTTAGGGACTGTATTTCTTATTCCAAAAACTTACTGATATGTCTCTTCTAAGTAAAACGCTACCTTTCTCTCTTTCTCTTTCTCTTTCTTCTACCTCCTAAACTTGGATCAAATTGAACTTCTTTGGAAATAGTCAGATGTTCATCAAAGAAAGGGAGAGATACGACTTCAGCTTCCAACTTAAAATAATTTGGTTCTAAAGCAATACTGCCTCTCACTAAGGAGTCTAAAAAGCCACCCAACCAAAAGAGACAAATAGGTAGTATATGCAGAATCCTGACATAAGCCTCCAACACTCAGCTCAGCCCTAGATACATGCACTGAACTCCAAGATGGCATTCTTTGGGATAGTTTATATCCCCCATACATAGAGTCCAGCTCTTCCCTTTTATTTATTTATTTATTTATTTATTTATAATTTATTTTTAAGATTTTATTCATTTATTTGTCAGAGAGAGAGAGTGAGAGCAGGGGTGGGGAGAGGCAGTGGGAGAGGGAGAAGGAGGTTCCCCACTGAGCAGGGAGCCCAATGTGGGGCTCGATCTCAGGACCTTGAGATCATGGCCCGAGCTGAAGGCAGACGCTTAACCGACTGAGCCACCCAATGCCTCTAGATCTTCCCTTTTAGTGATATGATTGAAATACATTCCCTGCTCATCACTGTTGTCATTGTCTCCTGGCCACTCTCTTCTCTTGCCCGAAGTCCAAGGACCCCTAAAACAGAAAACCCGCTCCATTGGTACCTATTCTGCACCTCTTCATTGCAGGCATCTGTTCAGAATTTGCTCTGCAAGTAGACGCAGTATTATCGCCATAATACAACCCTTTATTGTATGTGAGAAATTTCCCAAGAAAGCTTTTCTCAATCATGTACCTCTGCTTTGGTTCTAGGTACTTTCCTCAAAAGACAATCCTATTCACTGCAGAAGACACTGGAGCCTTCCATAGTTGAAGCTGGGGGCCTTTTCCAGGAAGCAGTCTTTCACCTATGTTTTTGCTCTACCTTTCACTCTTGAAATCAACTTTGGTACAAGCATGATCTTCGGCTATCAGACCCTATCGTACATCTGTAAAATTTGAAAATAAAGAGGTGTCTAAAATATGAACATATCTATGTTTCTTTCTACTAGTCTGATTTCTTAGCAGCTCAGTATCATGTTTAACAACAAATTCAAAAGGCAGGAGTAAGAATGTAAAAATAACTGAAATTTTCAGTCACTATCTCATTTTACAGACCTGTCACGAGCACGCTATGAAGGCACACACAAGTTGTGTCTTTCCACAATGTCAGCTTCATTCAGTCATAAAGCAAGGTTAACGTAATTACAAAGCAGGTTCAGGATTCCAAGCTCAATGACATTTCACCACATGATTAACTTGGGCTTTTTACCCAGCACACAGAGCAGAACACAGGACAAGCCACACAACAAACAAGATACACAGGGGGTAGGAGGTTAACAAACCAAACACTGCTCTGTGGGCGTGCAGTTGAAATAAGGCCTCTGTCCAGTCCGGGTCAGCTCTCGGCACTTACTGCTTATTACGTTCCAGCAGTGAAGGCTCTCGGTTCCGTTCGGAGATCAATTGTGCAGAACCTTCTGCGGCAGCTGCCTTTCTTAAGTGGTCAGACACAGAGGGGTCAGTGTCTGAAGAGTCTGACAGTTTGGTACAAAAATCCTCCCCTTTTAGGATATAATCAGTCTTGGGCCCCTGCAGACCTCCTCTGCTTCTGCTTGCTATTAGTTCTGAGGTGTCCTCAGCTGGTGCTGGTCTCGGGGATATTTCATAGCTGCAGTATCCTAAACTGCCTGCATTATTGCCTCACATCAGGCCCCTGCTTGACCTGAGTGACTCCATCTTGCTCTCTACAAGACCATTATATCAGTACATAATTCTGCCATCCCTTTGAGTTAATAGGAGTTAATTTTCAAATTCCTTACTGAGTGTTTTCAAATGTGTATTGACCCATAAACGTGTAAATGGTTGGAAGAGCTATTTGAGAGAAACCATTAACTCAGGTGTAGGAATATGAAATCACTACGAGATTACATTTGACAAAGCAAGATCTGTAAAAATGTGTTTCTACTGACAGTAAGTAAAAATAATGTGGAATCTTATAAGGAAATTTGAAATTTATCTAACAAATTTAGGTCTAATACATCTAACATCTAATATTTTTCAGAGAAGTAAGTTTTCAGTATTCCTTTTATCTTTATTTCCAAACACATTCATCTTTATTCACAGATCAGATGTGCTGTACTTTAAAATTCAGCTTTATAACACCCTACTTTTTCAGTATTATTATTGATCAGTCCATTTCAGAACATATAAACCTCTTTAAAACAAATGTAGACCTAATGCCGCAGAACCCATTTGCCCAAAAGTAAAATTAGTAAACTTCCTGCAGTCAACTTCAGGTTTGATTTTTTTCTAAAAAATTGTGTTTTGCTCACAAAAAGGCCATTTCTTCCCAAGGCATGTCTCTACTGAATGAATGCTGAATTGTGCACCCTTCTTGATTAGTGAGAATGGAATCTTGCTTTTCTTCTCTTTGCCACAAAATAACAAAGACCGCCAATATTTATTTATTTATTTATTTATTTAAAACAATTTTATTTATTTATTCAACAGAGAGAGAGACGGCAAGAGAGGGAACACAAGCAGGGGGAGAGGGAGCGGGAGAAGCAGGCTTCCCACTGAGGAGGGAGCCCGATGTGGGGCTCGATCCCAGGACCGTGGAATCATGACCTGAGCCAAAGGCAGATGCTTAACTGACTGAGCCACTCAGGCGCCCCAATACTGCCAATATTTAGTCCTCAAATATATGGGCATCCGGGTGATGTAAGAAGATATGCCAAAGTAAGGATGGCAAAACTGCCTAAAAAGATTGTATTATTTAAATAAAGTTTGGGGCATGGTTTCTTCCCTGTTTGGAAACAGTGAGGTCTGCCCTATTATGTTTGTAAGTGTATTTTTTGCTTCCTTCCATGGTGGAAAATGTGAGCCTTTTCTGACTTTGAAGATTCAGGTGAGAAAAGTTCAGATTAGAACAAATAAGTGAAAAAAATCAATTGTTGTCCTACTGAAGGACAACAAACAAATTCTCTGTAATTCTGGATACAAGGAGGATAGTATGGACAAGACTACCTCTAAAATTTCAGACATTAAAATACTGGGTTAATTAGAACAGCTGCACAATTAGTAGCCAAGGTATTTTCCCCATCTTCATTGTTTTTATAGATCAGGCTTGACTGCTTACACTAATTAGACAGAATAAAAGAAAAATCTATAGAAAAAGTGGAAATCTGGTGCACCTTTTACATGTGTTAGTCGAGATCACAAAAAAATTGTATTACATTTGCCTGTTTTCAAAAGACCGTGGTATGGATTTTAAAAGAACCTGGAATAATACAAAATCCCAGGTGGTCAAGACTAAGAGCCAAATGAGAACTGCATACAATACACACAATGTGCCTACAAGGTGTGCTAAGAGAATTTGGAGGTGAGAGCCATCCCTGAGGAATAGAGTCCATGAAGGCTCCTGGAGGTGGCACTTAAACAAGTGGAAAAGGAAAAGGAGCATTTCAGACAGGCAGCTTGTGCAGTAGAATGGAGATGGACCCATATTGTTTGGGAGCAAACAACTGGGTTGGAATAAGGGATTCATTTATGGAAGTAAGAAAAACAGAACTGAAGAGATGTATAGGGATCAACTTGTGGGCTTCCTTGGAGAAATGGAGTTTGAACAGCAGGGAGATATTTATTCAACAAATAAATGAGTGCCTGCCATGTGAGAGATTATTGCAGTGGGCACTAAACATATTATCTCTGAAAAAGGTGTTTGAGGTTGAGGACAGGGGAAGGGAGATAATTTGATCAATACAGAAGAGAATGCAATGAGGATAGGCAGCTTAAGTTGTAGTGAATTAGCCCAAGCCAAAAGGAATACACGTGCGCCAGCAGAACATGAACTGAAGGGGATGCCTGTGAAATATGTTACAAAGGAAGAAGAAACTGGACTGAATGGTGCAAAATGTGGGAAGAAAAACAAAGTTCAGCAGATAAATTGGTTGGCCATTAAAGGAGCTTATGCTTTAGGATTTACAGAATGTGCAATGCAATTCTGAGGCTAACAATCCAAATTCAAACTTCACAGGTTTAGGGCACAGTCCCCCACAAGACCACTCTCCCTTCAGCCGCAAGCTCTAGGGTTCCCAGGCCACCCATCCTTGGGGCCAAGTGGCTACAAATTTGGAACTGCCCACTATTCCTTCAGGTTTGATAATTCACTCAAATGACTCACGGGATTCAGGAAAGCACTAAAGTTTTATTGTAAAGGATAAAAATCAGAACGAGCTAAATGAAGAAACATACAGGAAGATGTGGGAGCTTCCCAATCGTGAAGTTTCTGTGTCCTCAAGATGTATCACCCTCTCAGGATACTGATGAATGTCAGCAGCTCAAGAGGCTGAACTGAACATCATTGTACATGATTTTTTATTGGAGTTTCATCACATAGGCATGACTGACTGAATCGCTGGCTATAAAACTGAACTTAATCTCTAACCTCCTTCCCCTCCCCAGAGGTCAGGCTGATATCACAGGACTCAAAGCCCTAAACCTCTACTTACATGATTGGTCTTTCCTTTCCAGCCCCCATTCTGGCTCATTGGGTTAGCTATCTAAAGGTACTCCAGGAGTTATCTTATTAGCATAAACTCAGGTGGGGCTCAAAAGGCCCACCATAAGTAACAAAGACACTCCTATCACCTGGGAAATCCAAGGATTTAAAGGATTCCTCTGAAGAACCAGGGACAAAGTCCAGCCACATTCTTTATTCCAGAAGTAACTCTAGGCTCTCTTAGGTAGAACTCCAGCAGACAGCTGAAGTTCCAAAACAAACTAGAGAGAGAAAACTAGCTATGTAACTCTGGCCACAAAGAGAAAGTCACATGGTATAGTTCAGTGTTCAGAGCTACTTAGCAAGGTCTACAGTCCTTGTCAAGAGGATATGCATGGGAAAAGCAACCCAAACATACACAGCATATTTTTCTAAGGAAATCAACCCTGAGCCTGATACTAACATTAGCATGAACAGAAACAGTTGCATCTTCTTTCTTAACCAGATGTCTAAAATATATATCTTTTATATGCTAATAAAACAAGTCCCTAAAGAAAATGTGATCTAAAAAATATACAAATCCAAAATTGATATAGCAGTGACTTAAAATACTTCATTCTTGTTAGACAAATGCAAAAGTGATGAGGTCAGCATTATTAATGCTCTCTTTATTTTGTGCATTGCATACCAGCATAAACTTAGCTATAATTACTCTATTTTGACATATTCTCAGTTCAATTCCTTGCCACAGATTACTGCAGTTATCAGCTAAGAAGTAGTAGATCAACCAACCTACTCCGTATACCTGCAATAATACCTACAAGTATTTGCCTTTGAGGATGATTGTATTCAAATGAAAAACATTATCTTTTCTCTCTTATTCAGTGACAGTGACACAAATGAAACTATGTAAAAGATTTTTTTCTATTTCAACTATTTATTATTCAACTTTTGAATGATCAGAAATGGATTCCAGAAAGAATATGCCTTACTTAAAAGTAAGATATCTATAAGCAGAAAAGGGTTATATTTTAAAATACACTATATTTGGATATTGCTTCTTTATACTTCTATAATAGATTATGGACTTGGCAAATAATATAAATGACTATTTGTTATTTCAAATTAATAAATACAGTATAATATATTTTTTATATAATCAAACCTTATATGCATGCAAAATATTCTTAGCTCCATGGTTAGCAGGTATCAGAAAATGGCTTAAGACATAAGCAATTTCTAGAACATATTAAAAACATATACTGACTAATAAGGACTTAAAAAAATTTTTTTGAGCGCTTAGTTTGAATCACAATGATTAGAACTTCCATAGGCAGCATTATCTAATGTCTCAGTTTTATTCCTGTGAGAAGTAGATGTTAAGAATTAGATGTGCAAGTGATTTGCTGGGAGAAATGCCTGCAGAGGATAAAGAGAAGGAGCAAGATCAGGAAAAGCCTTCAGATTCTGGTGCAGGTCTGACATCTGT